GTCAAGGGCTGACAGAAGGTAGGGCTGTCCCCCTGAGCACAGGGTAGGGCATCACAGCTCCTTGCCAAGCTATGGAGGGGCGGGGGTGAGGGGCGTGTGGCTTGCATCAAGCAAGGCTTTTGGCTGTGTCTGAGCTCCCAAAGATGATGCTTAAAAAGAGTACCTTGGGGATGGGAGGGGGAGCTGTGCAGCTACCTGCAGACTTTTCTCACGTTCTCCAGACCCCTCACTGGATCCCACCTCACCAGCTGTGGAAAACTTAGCAGCAGAGATCCTACCTGCAGAGCTCAGGTAACCTGTGGTCACTCGGAGGTTTGGTTCCACCCTAACCTGCCAGAAACCCACCCTCAGCCCTGCCCCCAGTGCAGGCACCTACCATAGCCCAGCCAGTTTGACTTTGTTTCCAAATCCTAGCTCCTAGGCCTACACACTCTTAATTCTGCCCTTACCTGGCTGGGGCTCCAGTCCTATCGGTGGCTCACCTCTCCCGGATGCATCCTCAGTGCACAAATTAGGTCCAACCAGGCTGGCTCTACTAGCCATGCAAAAATCCTATGCCCAGCCTTGCCCACATCGGACTGTGCAGGCAGGACACAGGCCTGTCCTCAGTGTAACCCCTGCTAGGTTCACTGCCCTGTGCCCTGCCCAGATGGACTCTTCCACCGCAGCTCTCCCCATTCCTACGTCTTACTTTCTCGCTGCCCCTTCTCTAGTGTTCGAAACCACTCATGTAGCCCCACCCTTGCCTGGCTCCATCTTTAGGCCAGCTAATAGACCCGCTCACTTCAGCTCCTCCCCCTTATGCTCCGCCCACCACACCTAGGCCCAGCCCGCAGCTCTCTAGTCCTACCCGGGTTCTGGCTGGGGTCTTCCCCAGGGCTCTGTCCCTTTCCTAGTTCCCTCTGTCCGGTCCCCCACCCTGAGCCCGGGAGGGTCTGCGGGGTGACCGGTCCCTAGCCCTATTCAACTCCCTCCTGGTCTGCAGGGAGACGCTCCTGCGGCTTCAGCTGGAGAACAAGCGTCTGTGCCAGCAAGAGGCCGCCGACCGGGAGCGGCAGGAGGAGCTGCAGCGCCACCTGGAGGAGGCCAACCGCGCGCGCCACGGACTGGAGACACAGCACCGGTGAGGACCCGGTGGAGGGGGTCCCTGCATGCGTGGAGAGGGGCTGAGGGCCGGTGCAGACACTGAGCGGCCGCCCACCCACGCAGACTGAACCAGCAGCAGCTGTCGGAGCTGCGGGCCCAGGTGGAGGACCTACAGAAGGCCCTGCAGGAGCAGGGGAGCAAGACCGAGGATGTGAGTGCTTACCTCCTCCCCGTCTGGCTCTCCCTCCTGCTTCCCAGTAATCCTCTTCTCTCTCCCCTCTGCTGCCCGATGCCCCGTGCAGTCCATTGTAAGTATCATGGGCCTAGGGTGGCACCCCTTCCCTCCCCTGAGGGAGGGGTTGGGAACTCTGGACCCCCACTCACCTGGTGCCTCTTGTCTCCCCCAGTCCACGCTGCTGAAGAGGAAGCTAGAGGAACATTTGTGAGTCCCAGAGGGAGGGCACTTCTTGGGGAGGTGCTGGGGCAAATGCTGGGGGATAGGGAAGTGCTGATGGAGAGTCATTTATGAGAGCAAGTCAGCAGAAATACAGACTGAAGATTTAGATCTAGTGGGGTCTTAAAGGCCATGGGAAGCAGTAAAGACTGTTTGAGGGGAGCAATGGTGAGCCACGGAGGGAATTTCAGTAAGGTAATATGACAAAGAGTTACCTTTTACTTTTTACATTGTTAAAAAATTGTTTTAAACGTCCATCATATTTATAATTTAAAAACCAAAATGTATACTTCCCAATTGACTCAGTTTCCAGCCCACTCCACCCCTATTTCTGCTAGTTTATTATGAAAATCTCTCCAGAGTTTTTAAAGCAAATGCAAATAAATATGAATATAGATTTTTAAGTTCTCATTCCTTATTTACACAAAAGGTTGAATAATGTATGTTAGCCTACACTTTGCTTTTCCTACTTAAGATGACTGGGAAATTTCTCCAAATGAATAAATAGTCACTTTTTAAAAATTGGAGAGAGGAGGAAAGGGGAAGGTAAAAAGGGTCAAATATGTGGTGACAGAAAGAAATCTAACTTTGGAAGGTGAACACAGAATATAAATATATATATACACATGCCTTACTGTTAAAATGTACAGCTGAAACACTGGATTTCATTAACCAATGTAACCATAAAAAAAATAAATTAAAAAATAAAAATAAAGTAAATATAGCAGCCTGTGTCATCTGGGGTTCCATTGGGAAACTAAGCCTTAAAGAAATGATTTGGATGGTTGTTTTCTTAGTTCTGGCTAAGGATGGAATGTAGCTAAGAATGACCCAGAGCACAGAAAAAATTATTTCCTTACAGAGGCTAGATACCAGAGGCATTGGGCTTAATCTCCTATAGAATTCTGGTCCAGAAGGGCTATCCTGTAGCACTTTTGTGAATATAATAATACATTTAACTCATTTTAGGTATTTGCAATTTCAAACAAAGCAACGAGTAAAACTTTGCATATGCATCATTTCACTTGTGTGCAAACATATCAAGTTGAATTGGTAGCTCAGAGGGCACATGCCTTTGCACATGTCTTGGTGACTATTAAATGTTATACTATGTTCCACATTTAAGGCACAATAATAGTCTCATCTACAGGTAGTGTTATCAAATCCTTTGGGTTTTGCCACTGGTGGTACAGGGTACTGAACCTCGGTGCAACTTGTAGCCTGCGTTTCCTTTAGTTATAAGAGATTTGCATTCTAGAAAAATGGCTGGCCACTGGGTGGGGAATGGATCTGAAGGTTTGAGAGTAGAAGAGGTGAGGAGTGATGGTGGCTAGTGGGCTATGGAATTAGGAGAAGTGGACATATGGGGATGCTGGTCCAGGGGCCACTTGACTAAGGATGTGGAGAGTTATGGCTCTGATGGTGGAGGAGGTGGCGGGGCCAGAACACACAGCCCTTGTGCTTACGGGGCAGGCAGAGAGGTCTCTGGCCAGTTGGGAATGCCGTGGTTACCATCACTGCTGCCTGTCTCTCACCCACAGGCAGAAGCTGCATGAGGCAGATCTGGAGCTGCAGCGGAAGCGGGAGTACATCGAGGAGCTGGAGCCACCTGCTGATGGCAGCAGTGAGTAGGGCTCAGCAGCTGGACAGGTAGGGGAGCCCTGAGCTTTGCATGGAGCTAAGGGGTCACCTTTTGCCTCCAGCAGCCCGGCGTATTGAGGAGCTACAGGACAGCCTGCAGAAGAAGGACGCGGACTTGCGGGCCATGGAGGAGCGGTACCGCCGATATGTGGACAAAGCACGCACGGTGAGGATGCTAGGTGACTTCCTGTCCAGGTTGCTGCCTCCCATTGTGTCATATCTCCCACCAGTTTGCACATCTCTGCTCCCCCTCCCCACTCCTGTCATATGTCATCATGTCGCAGACTTCTATACCATGGCCACGAGCTGTCACACTTAACACACCCCAATGTGTCAAACACCCTGTGAGGCCAAGGTCACCCTGGATGTGTCTTCTGCAACCTTTAGGTCATACAGACCCTGGAACCCAAGCAGCGGCCACCCAGAGGGGCGCCCCCAGAACTCCACACCTTGAGGACACAGCTCCGAGAGCGGGAAGTTCGCATCCGGCACCTGGAGGTGGGTGCCTGCATCCCTTTTCACTGCCCCCAGCATATCCAGGCCCTTGACTATTTCCTCTTTGGCAGATGGACTTTGAGAAAAATCGAAGTCAGCGGGAGCAGGAAGAAAAGCTGCTCATCAGTGCCTGGTATAATATGGTGAGTGTACCAGCACCACAGCTGGAGTGTTGGAGGTGTCCTGTGGGCTCACCTGGTGCCAACCACACCCCCTTCCTCCAGGGCATGGCCTTGCAGCAGCGAGCTGGGGACGAGCGGGCGCCCGCCCATGCTCAGTCTTTCTTGGCACAGCAGCGGCTGGCCACCAACGCTCGCCGTGGACCCCTGGGACGCCTCACGTCCCTGAACATGCGCTCCACTGACAAGCACTGATGGACCTCAGGATCCTGCCACCTGCCAAGTCAGTCAGGGCTTAATCTACCCTGGATTCTCCCAACTCATCTATGGCCCAGTGTCATGCTTGGGTCAGCTGCTTGAAAGCCTCGAGATCATGACCTGTCTTTTGCTTTCCCAGGTGGGACAAAAGTGCAGGACAGAGTGGGATGCAGGTATGGGTCTGTTCTTTTTAGCAATGTGATTATTTTCTTTGATACTCCCCCTGTGGTTAATGAGCTGCCAGGGTGGAGAGTGATTTTATATTTGAGAAGAAAAATAATAAAGACTTTCAATCTGCCCTGGCTGGACTCTGGGCACTGAAGTAAAGGAGAGAAGATGGGCTAGGGACTCAGACCACTGCTTTTAAGAAAGGCCTGGCTTGTGATCTTACTGAAGTACGAGTGACTGATAGTACCCAGTGGGAGGTGAGAATCAGTTTGCGTTTGTGTCACTGTGCATTCTCCCAACTCATCTATGGCCCAGTGTCATGCTTGGGTCAGCTGCTTGAAAGCCTCGAGATCATGATCATGAAGAAGCTTCAGACAAAAATCCCTGCTTTATGAAGCTATTATTTCCAATGAAGGGAGACAGATAATAAACAAAATAGGTAAAAGTTTGATAAGAGAAGTGCTATAGAGAAAAATAAAGCAGACAGAACTGATGGGGATGCAGAAGGTGGATTTGGGAGGTGGTGATTTTTAATAATAGGCCAGCGAAGGAGGCCCCACCAAAGTAGTGACATAATTTAAGCACAGACCTGAAGGAGGTGAAGAAGAGGTCATGTAGATATATGGGGAAGAGCAATCCAGCCAGAGGGAACAGCATGTGCAAATGTCCTGATCCGAGACCTTACTTGGTGAGTAAGAGGGACAGTGTGGAGTGAGTGAGGGGAGGGGAAGAGACAAGGGCACGGAGATTGTTCAGGGCCTCATGGGCTGCGGGGAAAGCTTTAGCTTTTATTCTAAGTGAGGTAGGAGTCATGAAGGGTTCTAAGCAAAGTAGGGACATTACCTCATTCAGGTGTTCATAGGCTCCCTTTGGCTGCTGTGGGAGGAAGTGACTGGGGGGTTAGGGCCAGAGCTGGGAGACCAGGGCAGAGGTCATTAGTCCACCTGGATCGTTGCGTGACACTGGGGGCTCTAGCCATGGTGGGGGCTTTGGAGGAAGGGAAATGGTTGCATTATGGATATAATTTGAAGACCAAGCCACTCACATTTGCTGCTGGGTTTATGTGGAGAGGGTGAGAGAAAGAGTTGAAGATGACTCCAGGTTTTGGCTTCATCAACTGGAAGGACAAAGCTGACAGACAGGTTGGGAAGCTGATAGGGAGCTGATTCAGGGGAGTGTTATGTCCAAGACGCTTGGGAGATCTCAACATGGAGACATCAAGCAGACAGTTGACTCTATGGGTCTAGAGACAGGAGGGAACCTGGCTGAACTAAATATAAGAGTCTTTGGCATATGACTGAATTAAGAGTACTGAAAGGGTATCTGAGAATTCAGGGACTGAGGGTAGAGAGGTCACTTGAAGAATCAGAAATCAAGGTTGGCAGGAGGAAGCTGTGGTCCTGGGACAGTGGCTGGTACAGTAATGAATGAATAAAGCTGTACACACTGATGGGACCATTTCAGAGCTTGGCGTTTGGGAAGATGTGGGCAGGGCATCATCAGATAACCTGGAAAATTTCTCAAATCTGACAGCGTAATGCTTGCCAGGAAAAGTCAGGCTAACAACATTTGAGTAGAACCCAGTCACACTTTATTGAGCACCTGTTATGTACCAAATGCACTTTAAAGCCATTATTTCATCCCATTCTTACAACTCCGAGAGGTAAGCACTCACATCTCCATTTCAAGGAAACAATAAAGGCAGAACACACTGATAGAGGCCTCTCAGGCAGTCGAGATGGGAAGGAGAGCTGGTGGGGAGGCAAGGCTGCTCAAAGCAGCTGGAAGAATCCCTGGCTCTTAGCTCAGTGCCAGGCCCACAGGAGGTGCTCCAAGCCCCTGTTCCAGACGTGAAGGCAAGAACTGGTCAAATGAGGGCAGGCGGAGTCCATGTGCAGTTTATGCAGACCTGGACCACTGCTTATGTGCGGTGTGGGTCTTGGCTCCCTGTCCTTGGGGATCCCGGACCCGAGGGTATCAGGCAAGACTCTCCTCCTCCTCACCAATGGGGCTGGGCAGCCAGGGCGGAGCTGGCCCCCGTGGCGCGGGCATGGACACTGTAGTGAAGGGCTCAGCGACCGACCCGGGAGCGGGCAGCTCGGGCCCGGAAGGGAGCTCAGGTTCGGGCTCCTGCAGGCCGGAGTCCAGCAGTAGGTCACCACAGCCACACTCTGGGGCCACGCCGTCTTGGGTGCTGGCGCACGTGCAGCTGGGGGCGGTGGACGCCTCCGACACACAGCTGTTCTTCCGGCGCAGCAAGGACAGACGCCGGCCCAGCAGGCCTCCTGCGGCCATGCCCGGGCCCACCGGCAGGAGGCGCTGCAAGAAGTCACCCTGTGCCTCGCCCAGCGGCACGTCCAGGCCTTCGGGCCGCTGGAACTGCATGTCCTCCTTGGCCAGCCTGTGGGACAGACAGCAGGCCAGCACTGTGACCTCGCCCCCTACTTGACTGACAGCTGGGACCAAGGCCTGCTGCTTTTCTTGGCTCTGCCCACCCTTTGTCTCGCTTATGCCAAAAGACATTGGCCCCTCACCTGGGAGCCTGGCCTTATCCTCTGGCTGCGCCTCTGCTCAAACTTAGGCCTTACAGACTCAGTTGTGGCTCTGCTGCGTCTCTTTTGGTATGGCCTCTGGCCGCCTGTCCAGTCCTCATATACCTTACCCCAATTAGTGGCCCAGTCCCAGACCCTGACCCTATTCCTGTCCGCATAGGCTTTATTTAGCTCTTAGCCCCTAACCTCTAGATTTAATCCTTTAGCCTTGTGGTACCCTAAAGCACCCTCAATCGGTCTTCGCAGAGACATGAGCCTCGCTCCCAAGAGGCCCCGCCCATCCCCTCGCTCACGTGATGTCGAAGGTGGAGCCCTGGAAGGAAGGTTGCAGCCTCTGGAAGGCGGTGGCTGCTGTGTAGGGGGCGCGAGCCTCCGCCGTGTCCCAATAAAGGTCCTTCTCCAGCATGGCTAGGTCGTCGTACATCTCGTCCACGGCCAGCATTGACACCTGCGGGCGCAGGACACGGGGCTAGATGAGTAGCAAGCACGGGCACCGTGAGGCAGACCTCTCAGGATGGGTAGGAGTGTGGTACCAAAGAGAGAAGGATGGTTCGGAGGCGGGGCCTGGGCAAGTCTTGGCGAGGGTGGGGCCAGGGTCACTGTGGGAGGCCAGGGATGAGCGCAATAGAGTCTCACCTGGAAGTTGCGGTCAATCAGAAAGTTGGTTTCAAAGTCGTCGTCGTCCTCACCAAAAGGATTGATGAGCTGCTCGGCTACCTGAGCGGGGAGGGGGAAGGTAAGCGGAGACCTGAGAATCCCTGCCCACTCCACATCCAGAGTCGGGCCTTGGAGGGGCCCCTCGCACCTTGAGCCAGCCAGCATAGAAGAAGAACTGCAGCAGAGTGAAGACTGGCACGAACAGGTCAAGATTGTGGTCTTTGTATCCCTGCGCAGGGTCTAGGAACTGGCGACCGATGAGGCAGGCCAGGAAGTAACTGTACACCGCAATGGTCACCACCTGCGGGCAGGTTGCCAGGTCAGGGCTCTTCTGGCCAGGGCTAAGATTGGGCGTCACTGTGATGGGGTCATATCTGGCCCTGGGTTTCCCACTTGAGACCAGTGCCTGTGATGCTAGATCTAAACGGAGGCACGGAGAGGTTACCTGGGTGTAGACGAGGGGTACGCTGATCCAGTCATAGTGAAAGAGCATCGAACACTTGCCCCGAAACACAGTCAGCTCCTGGAAACAGATACAAGTCATTGAGGGGGCCTGACTTGTGAGCTCCCAGGTGAGGATTAATTGTGGATATTTGGATGAAGGTGAATGTTCACCTGATAAGAGGTTGTGTGTGCTTCTGGGGGCTCCAGGGAGAGTATTTAGTGGTGAGTTTCTACCTGGGGTGGGGGCCCCACAGAGATAGATGTGTACCTGGGGGCTGCTGGGTAAAGATGCTTGGAATTGGCCTAGGGGAGGCCTGTGGCAGGCCCGCAGTCTGATCTCACTCCAGGGTGAGGGGGGCGGGGTACAATTTCTCTGGTATTTTGTATTAATGACCAGCTGGCAAGCCCACCTCGAGCAGCAGTTTAAGGGCGCTGTTGTCGCGGATGCGGCCCTCGCGCCGGGCCTGTGCCGCCAGGTTGGAGAACCAGATGAAGGGCACCCAATACTTGTTGTAGGACGAGTTCAGGTTCTCGAACTTCTTGCGCTCCTCGCGGGTCATAAACCCTAGAGGGGTGAAGTCAGGGGTCACTCGCCACGCCCTCCGTCCTCGCCCTGCCCCCCGCATCTAGCCCGAACCTCACCAGCCTCCACAACGTGGTCTATGGTGGGGAAGCGCTTGAAGACGGCGGTGCTGACAGAGCGCAGGATGAGCACGGCGGAGAGCCCCGCGTAGCGCATGAGCGTGCGCCGATAGAGGCGGCCGCGCTCGTCGCGGCCGTGCACCGTTCCCGACACTATGCACATGAGCGCGTCCGGCAGAGGCATGCAGAGGTACTGGTTCCACCAGCGGTGTACCACCAGGTTCACATAAAAGCCTGCAGGAGAGCCAAGAATGGGGGGCTTAGTGGGGACACTAGGGCTAGCGGTTCGGGGACCCAGGTTGTGGGAAGAGGAATGATATAGGATCTGCGTCAGGGACACTAGGCAGGTGGGGCCATCCTGGCCACGCGGGGCCACTTGGGCTGGAAACTTGGGGGTCCAGCCATAAGATCAGAGTGGCCCGAGCTGGCTGGGTTGCTCTGGTTACTTAGGAGTCACATGTGATAGAGGATTGGGATCCCAGGATGCCCGCAGAGACACGGGGCCTATAGGAGGGTTTTCACCCAGGCCACAGGAAGCCCCTGGGTCAGGGATGTGAAGGGGATGGCCACAGAATCTGTGTCAAGGAGCCTAATGTAGGCGGTTCACCCCATCCATGTGGGCAGAGAAGGAGGCTGGTGGCCAGGCCTTGACAGAGTTGACAAAGAAATACTCCCCAGGCTGGACTTGAGAGGATGGAATCATATGGGGTCCCTGGGACTCAGGACATGGGGAGGGGGCACTTGTAATCTTATGCAAACCCAGGTGGGAGTCCGTGAAGTGACCAAGGATAAGCATATGGGTGACGTGGAATTCTCTCAGGGGCACTGTGACTAGGTGATAACCAAGGTCTTGGGAGTGGGGGCTACACCTGGCATAAAATATGCAGAAATGGGGTCATGGGTTGGATTTGAAGGGGGTCTCAGTGGGGCAGGAATGGGGGAGGTCTCTGAAAGCGGCGAATGGGAATGGGTTTCTCTGGATCAGGGGATGGGGAACTCAGGAGCTTGTACACACCGAGCACAAAAGAGACAGGAATGAGACTGGCGTACTGGTCGCAGTAAATGACGAGCTTCTCGAAGTAGCGCTTCTGCCCTTCAGTCAGCATGAAGCTGCAGGGGAGGGGCATGGGGTCACAGGCAAGGCTTCTCCCTAGCTGCGGATCTCTCTTCCCATGCCCCACCCTGGGCACACCTGGGTCCCTTCCCAGCCCCATCTGGTCAGCTCTCCCACCCCAAGCTGCCTCACCGATAGGCAGAACTCAGCACCATGTAGAGCCCGAGGAAACAGAGCAGCTCCCGCCACAGAAGTTTGTAGATGCTCCCACGCCACAGCAGCAGCAACTGGGAGAAGCCGCCGAATCGTGCGTTGGCCACGCGGGCTGTGTACGTGACAGTCATCGTGGCGCTGGACTGGTCGGGCCAAAGGAGATGGGGCTGGACCAGATCCGCACTTGTGGGCTGTGGAACTGGGGTCCGGGAGGGAGCGGGGCTAGGGGCTGTGGGCGGAACGTGGGGGAGGGGTGGAGAAGTATGGAGTGACTCACTTAGGTGTCCCCTCCCGCACCCTGCCGTCTCCTCCCAGCCTTCTCCTCCCAGCCTTGTTTAGTCCCCTCCCTAGCTGCCAGTCCTCCACCGAAGCCCCTCTTGCAGGCCACCCCCTTCCCTGAACTCCTGGTGCTGTGCCTACCTCCCCAGGCCCTCTCACCAGCCTCCATTCCAAAAACCTTTAGGTCAACTAAGGTGCCTTCTATTTGATCCCATACACTTTACCTGGGCTCCATCTGCAACCTCCTCCACTCCCTGAGTTCCCAGTGCCTCCATTTCTAGGTTCTCAGGGCTCTGAAAACTACCCCCCCACCACCATTCCTCCTCTCTCAGATCCAACTTCTGTCTCTATTAACTACCCCAGCTTCCAGTCTCAACTTCCAAAGCCCTGTCCTCAAGCTTCCAGGCCCCCAGGTCCCCCTCTGCAGCACCCCCTGACTCAGGCTGGCCCCTTCTCCTGCACTGCTGCCCCAGCCTATCTACTCTCGCCACTTAATTGTCCTGCCCCCTTCTCCTGGCTTCACCTTAGTCTTTCCTCTGTCCATTCTCCTCCAGCCTTCCAAGCTCTTCGCTCCATACCCTGAGGATTCTGATTTAATTCCTGCCTGATTCCTGCCCGAAGGCCCATCTATTTTCAGCATCCACTGTTCTCCCAGACCTGGGCCCTTCTCACCTGATGTCGGGTGTAGGGTACTCGGGGACAGGGATAGGGCAGGCAGTGGCTTCAGCATTGGGTGCGGCTGAAGCCAGACCCTGGGTGGGAGGGGGCTAGGAATGGGTGTGGATGATCTCTCCCTAGCCCGTCCCCCTGGGCTGCAGCCTCAGATCTTTGTTTGGAGAACTCTGGCCAGTTTGTTACCTGCAGCAGGGGGAGAAATCCGGCCTCCGTCGCTCCTCCCTGTCTCTTTCCCAGTCAGTCACAGGTCGGTCCTAGGGATCTTGGACCTAGAGCTGGGGGAGGGGGCAGAGATCGTGTCCTTCCTAGTCTCACACACACACACACACGCACATGCTGCTCAGTGAGGTTGGGTCCACTCCATAGTCATCTGTAATCATACACTGTCACAAAGATGTACATGGAAACACATGCCATATACCCAAGCACAAATTCAGCTTCCCTTAACACTGCCCCACAACCTTGGTGACCAGAGGGCAGAATGCACTTTCAGAAAGTCACACAAGACACACCTCGCTCTACCCGCTCCAACATTCAGGTATAACAGATGGACCCTAACCCAGGAGGCTCATACCTCTCGGCCACCAAACAGCCACCCAGGAGTACCTGGGCAGACACAAAAGGACCCTACATTCCCTCCTGATCATGCCCTGTAACTAAGACACACACAAGGTCACACAATTCGCAAGAGCAGATCCCACCCAGAGCCCAGAAAGCCACACACCATCACAAAGAGGGTGGTAACATACATTTATTCCCGATCTTTCCTGAACAAGGACATACCTCTGGTCACACAACAGATGTGGGAATGCCTGCTCTCTACACAGCTGCACAGGCTCCTGGGGTCCCTTAGATCCAGTGTTGCAAAGACATTCATACAACAGTGACCTCTCCTCAACAGTCTCACAGTTCTAGAGAGGCACATCTAGGTAGGATCATGCCCATAACTTCTCTTGAAACTTGCTTGTATTTGCACATCTATATGTAAGACACCCCTCCCCGATACCCTTTTACTGCGGTGTGCAGGCACCCCCTCCCCCGCCCTACTCCCCACCCCATATACAAGCCTTGGGTCTCAGACTCTCTCAGCATTGCCATGAACACGCAAGCTTAAGGACATAAAAACTTGTTCCTACATTTGGCATAGATGCAGGACAGATGTTTCCCCTTCACAGACATGCCTACAAAGCGGGCACTCCCAACCTGGTACAAACAGCTCCCCATCCCAGTCCTCAAACTCACAGCCTGTGCACTAGGAGTGCGAATGGCTTTATGTGGCCCCGCCCTGAAGTCCTGCCAGCCAGGACGCCTTGTTCTCAGCCTGGCAGATGTCTGCCCCGCCTGGGGTAATTAGGAACCAGTCTGGGTTGGTCACCCTTGAACCCACACCTCCGCTGTCCAGCTGCTGGACAGCCCATAAAAGTGGGCGAGGGGTTATACTACTAGCTGTGGACCTTGGGGAGGGGTCAGGCTTCAAGGTGACGGGCTCTGTTCCTGACCTGAGGCCCCTGCTTTTTAGGGACTTATCTTTATACACACTACAGCCAGCCCTCTCTTACCCCCTTCCTGTGCTCATCCTCCCTCCCCAGCTCAGTGTCCCCAGGGCACTTCTGACTGCTGGACCCCTGATGGGCCAGGGGCAGGTTGCCCGGGCTAGTTCACATACTTAATAATTGTTAACAGTGAATAATAACAAACACTCCTTGGCAGGTACATGCCTGGTGCTGTTGTAAAGGCGTTACTTATTTCATCTCATTGAGTCCTGACAAGCAGTCTTATGAAGTTGTTCCTTATTGCCGCTATCCAGGTAGGGAAACTGAGGTTCAGATAACACAGCCTGTTCATGGCGCAGCTTGGATTTGAACCCAAGCACTTCGGCTAGGAGTCTGGGGTCTTTGCCATGGGCTGCGCCACTGTTTGTTTACAAATGCCATCCTGATGTGCCCACACCTGCTTGCTCACAACCAGTGCAATAGTCAAGGGACACGTCTGGGCTCGTGGCTGGGTTCCCCTGGCACGCACATCTTGACACGCCCAGACCCTGGGTGTGCAGTTCGAACATCACTTCCTGCCTTGTGCGTCCTCAGGCACCTCTTGTCTATCCCCTCAACTAGCTCAGGCTTGGAATCTGCACATGCCTGAGGTCATCCCAGTCCTGTCTCTCAGGTAGGGATGAAGGTGGCTGTCCAGGCAGTGGCAGAGGGGAGTGAAGGGGTAAGGGGCTTGCTAAGGTGCCTTTCAGGCTGCTGTGCTGACCCTTCCAGGGTCGGGTGAATTTGTGCCATGAATTTGTGAACGGTCATACTATGCCTCCATTTTTGAGATGAAGCTCAAACTAAAGGAAACATGAAGCACTCAGTGAGACCCCTCTGGAGGTAGGACAAAAGCTCAGGGGTTTCTCTGGCCTGAATGCTCTGCCATCCTGTCCCCAGTTGCAGCCCTGTGCTGGGAGGAGCTGGTGCCATGCCATGGGGGCAGGAATTGGGGGGTGGAGACTGTTAATCCCCAGTCTGGCTGGCCCAGCCTCTGCCCAGGGTGCCCACTAATTTCCAAACCAAACAGCAGGCAGTGTTGGGCCCGCTGCCGGCCTAATCCGCTCCCCACCAGCCTGGGGCTCTCCAAGGGGCCTCCCAGTTCCCACGCTCTAAGCCTCAAAGGAAGTGGGCAGATGTCCCTCTCTTGCACTCCAGGCTTTACAGCAGACACCCCTACCTATAGAGCTAGAAAAAGCACCCCCTTCCTAAAGACACCCACCTTTAAAACTGCTATAAGAAACACACTTCTTAGGTCTGTTGTGACTGCATCCCTCTAGATGTGACCATTTTTGTACAGTGTACAACCTGTGCAACTGTACGTGGAGGTGCGGACCCCCAAACTCCCTGTAACAATACCACAGTGGTTTAAGATCATTTTATTGAGGTGCAAGTGGGGAGAGGTGGGGAGCAGCTAGTCTCCCCAGCCCCACCAGGGGGAATGGATCCCCTCCCCACCTCCCACCTCCCAAGTGATTCCCCCTGTATTATGGGGGGACTTTGTGCAAACTCTGCCCCGGTGGGGTGGAGCGTAGGTGTGAAATGGTAGCAGCTGGGACTGGCAGCAGTGCTACTGGGCGCTGGGTGGCTTGTAGGGCTCCAGGAGGAGGGCAGAGAAGGTGTTGACCTTGTCTGCCCCCCGCACCTCGTGGGGCAGCAAGGGCAGCTTCACAATGTGGAAGTCTTCATACAGGTCCTCCATCTGTGGCCAGAGGCAGAGGACAGTGGTCAGAAGGCCACAGGGCAAGGACAGAATGTGGGTCGATGGAAGTGATCAGGCTGGGGGCCTCCCAGGGTCAGGGGCTTCAAAGGTCACAGGTAGGAACAACGCTGGTGAGGTCAGAGATCTCTAGTCATGGTAAGAGGTACCCAGGCCAGGCCAGTTCTCAGGGTCAGAATTAGGTGGAAGGGTCTGAAGTAGGGGTGAAGGGCAAGAGGCTGGGGTAGGTTAGAAGGTGGGATGGAGCAAAGGATCAGAGCACAGAGTAAATGGCTGGAGGTGCCGTGGCTAGGCTAGGCCAGGCCCCCACTGCCCGGATCAGAGGTTGGAGGGCTGGGTAGGTGGCTGGGCATGTGCACCTGGTCCAGGTACTTGGCCTGGATCTTGTGGCGGGCCTCACACATCTTGCAGGGCTTCTCAGGGTCTGGGAAGACGAGCTGGTTGACAATGATGTTGTGTGTGTCGATCTTGCACTTGGCCAGCTCCTGGATCAGCCGCTCCGTCTCGTATAGGGACAGGAACTCGGCGATGCACACGCAGATGAATGTTGTCTGCTCCTGCACGGTGCAAGAAAGGACTGTGAGGGCCAGGTACTGGCCCTGTCCCCATCCCCCAAGCCATTCACTGCCCACCTGCACCATGACTCACAGGGTCTTTGAACTGCTCGCTGACGGAGCGGATGACAGGCAGAGTCTCCTCCAGTTTGGAGGCCAGCTGGTCTGCATTCATGTCCCCTAGGCCCAGCATGTTGCACATCTGGGGGAAGGACATGGGAGGGCTTGCAGCTTACCTGGGGCCCATTATAACTCCTGGGTTGGGGGGCTTGCTAAACACCCAAAGTGAATGTAACCTCCCAGTGGTTAAAGGCATGGGCCCTTGAGCAGACCACTGGGGTCAAATCCCAGCTCTGCCTCTTCTGGGGGAC